TGGAGATTCAATGAACTTACTGGTTGGCGCTTCTAAATCAAATTTAAATATGTTAGGTATGTTTTGGTTTTTCCTGTCGACTTGTCATCAGGAAGCTCACAATGTAGGTAATTTCATTAACACTGTTCTTCAGGGTGACCGTAAGGTCATGGCCAAATTCTGCTAAATGCAATTCAAAAATCTGTCAGATTCATCAAAAATCTGCCAAATTCCCCATATTTACTCGAAATACACTACAAACACTTAAAATCATACGTAGATGTTGTAGTATTGCCACAATTACGGTTCAAATTACTTTATAAACAATCCTAAAGTAAAATAAAGATGTTATAAAATTGCGTAAATTTCAGGCTAAACGCGGTTGCGTCATGACAGAGTCCGGTTCCCAGTGAACCTCACCACCTAGACAGCCAACCTGTCCCATTATGCAAGGGTTGGTTTGAAAAGATTGAAGCTTTTTTAACGAAATGTACCCTTTTTTCAAATTTGTTGTGTTTTTCTGTCAAATATATATCCATGTTTGCAGAATTCTGCCAGAAATCTGCCAAAAAAATTCATTCTGTCAAATTTTCTGTCAAACTCATTTTTTTCACAAACAATCTGTCAAAGTTAGCCGAAAATCGGCTAAAACGGTCAGCCTGCTGTTCTTGTATAGAAATATTGGTGTAGTGTGAATACAAATAACCGCCATTTATAAGTTGAAATTCCCTAAACCTACACAGGGCTTTTAAGTAAAAATGAACTTTCGACCCGTCTATCTTATTTCAATAAAACCTAAGTTTGTCGTTCTGAGGGAAAACAAGCAAATTTGTCGTGAGGTCCGATGTCGTGTTAGTAATTATGCAAATGCGAAATACTTGCATCTTTGTGAAAAGAACCAGACGGGATGGGTAATCAAATCACACACTGCAAATAGGTGTCACCGTCTAGTATGCAGTCTGGTTCCCCGACCAGACGATCCCTGAAATCTCTTTTGTGAAGTGCGAATAGACATCAATGGATAGTTCTGAACCGACCATTTCAATAAGAAAGAATCAATAGAATTTTTTTTGACAGCAGGGTATTGCTCAATTACCTAACAGTCTTTACGAAACTGCCGTCATATTTGACTTTAGATTTAAGATTATTCTCAGTGACAGCATTTTCGACGGAATAATTTCACAAGTGTTTGACACAATGGTGTATTTGCTCAGAAAACAAAATGTGTTTTTCCCCAGTATTTTAGTGGGTCCGTTTTAATGATCGATTTTTGGCAAATATTCCGTTGACCAATAAGGCTATAAGAGGGTGCTTCCAGTAAACAAAAAACATTGAATATCCCGCGAAGAGTTCAACATTTCTCACTACTAAGCTATTTTTGTATTTGCTATCATTATGAATGTGGAAACAAACAGCTAGTAATAGTAAAGCAATTGGGGATAGGCCTATGCGCATTCCTTTCACTGATACGTATTAGTATAAATTAAGTTTGACAATTCCCCCCTTGTCTTCATAGAATGGGGAATTTGAGGTACTTAAGATTTTCATAAGAAAACCGAGAATGTTTCTGCCCACAGAGCATCATGGCAAGGGACGCGTCGTCCTGAATCTCGGGTATGCTTCTAACGACAGCTGACTGTTGCTATTTTAGTAGAGATATTAATATGAGTATTAATAGAGCCTGAGCATGAGATGCTGGGCATGTGAACACGCGAGGATTGAAAATATCCGGAAACTTTCTCATCAAGGGGAAAACGGGCGCGGCATTGGGGAGGGGGGACTTGCCCCTTATAGCGACACTTGCATATACTGTTTAAGGAATTGATAGCACCATCAACTCACAACAGTTCCCAGTATACTTCATACCCACACAGACTTGCCCTTACATACCTAATGTGGAAATTCCTTTGTATTCGTGTAGTTAAGAAAAAACGGAGAAAAAAACTATATGTATTTGCACTGAGAATAACTGGAGTGTTTCTCTTCATTTTGCGACGTATAAACCTGACCCGAAATGCCTCTCAACCTGTTTTCCATGCAGAGAAGGGGGACACCTTGTGTGGACGTGTGCAAGTCCACAAAGCGTTCACACTTCCTGCATCCTGTGGACCTCTTTTGTTCACAGGTCCACAAGGAGGATGGAAGGTTAGAGCACCCACCTCGCTTTGTACACCTTTCACAAACAAAAATGTTCATGTCATATTTTCAGAGAAATTACCAATTGAAGCCCCCCCCCCCCCTCCAACAAAACACGGATACGCTGCTGGATACTACAAAGTACTTTTTGGCCACATACGTTTCTGTGTTCGTTTCAAAAGGTAAATCCATTGATCAAAAATGATTCATTGCGTGACAGTTGACATCGAATCGATTCATCTTGTAATATACGATCACTGTGGCATTTACCGCCGATTTCAAATATGGACAATGAATGGGCTGGCTTACTTGAGCTGTCATAGACTTATTGCACACTGATCCACCGGAGCGATGTGAAATCATTCCATTGCGGAAGCAGCGACTGGCGGGGGTTTTCAGCGGAGATCTTCTCCGCATTCCATTGGGGGCAGCGCGGCAGGTGCAATATGAATACACGGTGAGAGTCGTCATCGTTTAGGAGTGAACACGACGCACACAAATCTCAGGCTGGTCGCCAACATCACAAAGATTCCCTCTCGAATCCGCTGGGAGTGAAGTTCGCTTTCCAATATGGGTGAAGTTCCCTTTAGAAATCTATACATTCAACGGAGTAGAAGATACTTCCATACACATAACACAAATCACAAACTATAACTTTCGGAAATCATTTCTACATGAGTTCGGTCAGTGACCACACTTTATAAGTGTTGAATCCAGCATTTTAAATCCAACACTCAAAACAGTTAATAAACGTTGATCATGTTGATTCAACACTTTAAGGCTGTGAAAAATGTTGAATTAACACTGAAATTGTTGAATTAACTGTATATGTGTTGGATTTAACATTTAAAATGATGGGTTCAATATTCATTGGGCGTCGGCATGTTTTTTTTTTAGGGGGGGGGGGAAGCACATTTCCCCCAAATCCTTGTACTTTCTCTAGCATATTCTCAATTTATTGTTTTTTCGAGGGTGGGCGGGGGACATATGCCCACCCCAACCCCATTGACACTCCTGCAGACGCCCATTTTGGTTAAATGTGTATCAAATTAAGAGCAAATATGACATCACACCCCCTTTTTTGGTTGCTTTTCCGGGGGGGGGGGCAAGCGACCCCCTCCCCCCTCGCGACGCCCATGTCAATACTTAAAATGCTGAATTCCACACTTTCAAAGTGTGGTCACTGACCGAACTCATGTTGGTGTTGGATTCAACACTTCAGTTCATAGGGTGAGCTTTCCAAACCCACCCTCCACAACCAGCTCATTGTTTAATTCCGTCTAGAGGATCCATACAAAGCGTACTGCAAACATAGGGACCGATACATGTAGAAATGATGCGCAAGGGATACATGTGCAGCTAAGAAAAAAGTTGCCGATTACATCATCAATTGGATTGATTATCTCACCAGGCACACATTAGGCTATGTACATCTCAACATGTTAGACGTGATATGCACATTGCTGACTGTGTGCCCGATAAAATAACCACGACAAAAACGATGATTTAAGAGGTGGCCTTTCCCCGATACGCCTCATTTCTTACGGCCTCTAATATAAATGCAGAAACAGAGACGGGATGCCGGTATCGCACTTGGTGTAGGCCTAATATAAAACAACTTCAAACACCACCCCGCATTAAGTACTAAGATCGATTGTGTAAAACACCATCATGGGATGATCATTGGCGAAGAAGTGCTCCAAGATATTTTGTGGACATCAGTCGATTATTCATAACAGTAAAGAGAAAGAAAATATTGCATCTGACCTAACGGGTACTAAGATATTAATTAAGGGGATTGGTCATTAGGGAGACTTTCCCATGGATTTGCGCACAACTTTTTCCAACTTCAATGTGCCCTAACCCAATATTCCGTAGTCATTTCCCCACGAATTTCGTTTCCCACGAATTGCCTCTAAAGAGGGGGGGGGGGGGGGGGGGGGGGGGACCATTAGGGAGACAGTTATGAGTCTCCCTAATGACCTGTCTCCCTATTATCGAGGGAAAAAACCCCGATAAGTTGTCTCCCTAATGGTACATTTAGTAATATAAAGAACACTTAACACGAGACTGAATACTTTTCAAACCCAATTACGGTGGATAACACGTGGTATCTTAAGAAGATCGTAGAGACGCCTCGTGTTTTTATTTCAGATTTCGATAATACAAAGTTCCTACATTTCTTTCCTCGATCTAACATTTGCATCATGTATGGATCTTGTTCTACTTTTTCAGCAGTGAGATCATTATAATTATTTTTCTGTCCACCTTCAGAAAAAATGGAATGTTTTGATCATCACTTGGCTCGCTAAGCTCAATTTTATTACCGCAGTTTAGATAAACATCGTTAGATACATGCTTCAAAGTAATTACCTGGCAACGCAATTTGTTTTCATAACGTTCAGCACTACGAGTGCGACGAATAACAACGTGCTTAGCATCAAAGTATGATTAGAGTCGGAGCCGAGAGACAAAATTGTTCTGAAATCCTCCTTAGTGCCCTACTGAGAAGATTTTGAAAAATGAGTGAATTTCAAATTGATGTTGAGATTGACTCGGTTGAGATATGCAAATGGCCGCGGTAGTAACAAGCGAATCAGTGTCAGTGCAGAAAACGCATACATTCTAACTACTGCTCCGAGCTCCTCAGACTGTTTTGTTTTTGTAAGTATTGTAGTTCACTTAAAAAAGAAGGAAAAAAAACAGGGGGAATGTTTCCCCCTAATCAAATAATTAACCGATGTGACAGAAACCTGGAATTTTAAAATGTATTTATGTATTTTTGTGTGGGTGTGGGGGGGGGGGGGGGTGGATTTATTTCAATTTTTATTAAACATAATACGACAATGACGTTAATAAGAATGGAATGTCCACACAATTCGAAGTCATTCTTACAACCATGCTATTTTATTCATTCTTGGTTTACCAATCCATTTACAAGAAGAGTTGCATATGAAATCCTCATGCACCAATGTTACACATAGATTCTAAAATCCAATAAACCCATTTGAATTCGCTTCAAGTGATAGGTAGAGTGCTGTCTGTGAGAACACATGTCTATATTACTGAAATGAATGTCTGTTTTTATAAATCGAATTAGTAATCCAAGCCAAGGTCTACACTTGCATCATACATCCCTTGAGCAAAGATAACCGGGATAATCCTTCTTATAGATGCCAAGTCATGAATCAATCAATATGCCATGTTGTGTACGTCAGTGGTGTGAGACAAAGGAAAAGAAGACTGAGAAAGAGTTACAGATTGCGCACGCACCGCCATCATCACCACCATTATCACCATCAACAATTCTTAACCATCACCACCACCCCAATCAGTGTCTTCCACACCGTCCTCACTCCTCATCACTTCCACTATCGCCCTTATCACCGTCAACGCCATCGTCTCCACTATTTCCTTCTTCACCACCATCGTCAGCATCACCACCACCACAATCACCATCATTATCACCATCATAATCATCATTTATTCCACCACCATTATCATAATCACTATCATCATCACCACATCAACACTATCACAACCATCAGTTTCACCATTTTTCATCACCATTAACACCATCATCATTAACACCATCATCATTAACACCATCATTATTAACACCATCATCACTACCACCATAATCACCACTAATATCAACATCAACATCTTCACCACAATCACCTTGCTGTCGTCTCAATCATCACCATTTATCATCACCAGAACCATCACCATTACAATCACTACCACATTTAGCAATATCACCACCAACACTTTCAGCATCGTCACATCTATCACCAGAATCATAAACCATCATCACCACAATTGCCATCATCATATAAATTGCCATCTTCATTATCCCCACAATTAGCAATATCAACACCATCAACATCAGTATTACCATCACAATTATTACCGCAACCATAAACCATCATTACCACTTCCACAATCACCATCATCACCAGCATCCACATCTTAACCGTGATATCATCACTGTCATCACCACTATCACAAAAGAGAAGAATATCGTCCTTGAATTCGTGACTATCAACAAACCCCACCACTCCACTTGTAATTCTGTGGGTTTTCAAAATATTTCCCGGGAAACAATTTAAAAAAAACAAACCATAATACCTCCCACATCTGGACACGAATCCACAATTCCCCTTGAACATTTTTTTTTTTACGGGCGATGGTATATTGTCAAAGCAACGTGATTTTATTTTTTACAACAATGCTCCTTACGTGTCCAGACGCGGAACGCGTTAATCAGTTGCCGTGGCAACGCTCAACAATCATGCAGACATTACACAATGCAAAGGCTGCAGTGGATAGAGGAAGAACGTCAGTTGGAAGGGGAGGGGCGGGGCTTGTGAATTCATGACGGAATATACGACGATGTTTTACCCACTGGATTTAGAAGACAAAACGTGCGACCTCGGCCGAAATTATGAGCTCGGCCACAAGTTTGAAATTGGCAGTTCCCGGTGGTCCTAGCTGGACTAATGTTTAGAAGGAAAAAAAAATCATTTTGATGCATACGCGAAATCATTAACCACATCAGAAAACATAACTTAACAATGTGCCCCCTTCAACACTCACAAATTAAAACATCGGTGCCTATTCAGAAGCTCTTGGCAACTGATGAATTTTTTGAAATTGGCTTTGGGCGCGTTCCACTCAAGCAATCGTTACCAACATTCGCGATCTCTTTTTTTGCACAGCAAACGGGAAATGATTGCCATAAGTGGAACGCAGTCCCAGTCACTGAGCAGGAGTACAATTCTGTATTTCAAAATATGTGACAAACGACCATGATTATGAAACCGTCCATGACAAGGTTCATACATTAAGTACATGACGCAGTTCGAACTATGGAGGGATAAACCAAATCCCAATTAGCCAGTAAACAAGCACACGGACCAACAAACCAAAAATGGACAGTTCACATTCCAACCTAATGTTTTGGGTCCTCTGATCCAGTTACTAATTTAGCAAGGCTCATTATGTGCCTGGGACCACTTCCCCCATAGCGACATTTCACCATCTTCATAACAATTTAACGTGTCAACAATTAACAATTGGAACCACCACACTCCAGATTTTCGAAAGATTTTTTTTTATAATTGAAACAGGGGGAAATGGACACGTCTCCTTTTGGCCCCTGCCAGCTGTTTGGCAATATTGACAATGATAAACGCCTTCTTTCGAACCATAGTAGCATACACAACATACATACTCTTCATCGAAAAATAGCTTGACACTATCGAACAAGTCTCCAACGCTCGCCCTAATTAAGTCATTTATTGAGTGCTGTGGGAATGGTATAATGCATAGCCATGGACAATGCGCATAGCGTCGCTAAGAAAGATGCGTCTCTATGGAAACCGTCTTGACCTGGCATCTCTGAAGGTTCTTCATTGCAATTATATAGATACCTGCTCCAATGCCATCAGAATATCAGACATTGTGTCCAAGAATGAAACTATTCATTTTATTATTGAAATGATCTTAGAATCGGCATGCGATTAACATGACTTACCTATAGCCTACATGCATTTGTACAATTTGAATGCCATATATATATGGCCGTGTTATTTAATAAATTAAAAAACAATAAATAAAAACAGAACATAATCGGCAAAACAAATCATCCCCGATAATTATAACGAATAAAACAATGCCAACGTGAACACCAGAAACAGTCTGTTTCACGTTGATTTTGATGCAGATTTTTTATATTCTCAAAGAAAATGCAGTTTTTTTTCCTCAAAGAAAAATAACCTTCTCTCTCAGCGACTTTTGATCATTCCAAGAAATCGCAGATGTTTGAAACAAAAAGAAATTAAAGTGTTCCTAAACTGACATCGTTAAAACTGTGACAGGTGTCATTCGGAAGTTAACCCTCGGGGATCTGTTTTAACTTTTAGTTAGTCCGGCAGTGTTGATGTGCAAAGCTTATGTAAACAGCACCATTTCGACCATCCATTAGCGGGTCTTATGACTCACTGTGTTAGCCCCTTCAATAGGATGCCTCGCCCCCAAAAGGAACTAGTTGTGTCGATGTCTTACGATTTCGTCACTTCCAAATTGTCCATCATACCTTCTTCTTTTTATTTTAGGCTTGTCACTTATTTTGAAGCATGTAAAATTGTTTTCACCACATTTGGTTCACCGATTTATATATTGGAACCTGCACTTTTAAATAACGAAAATGTTCCCACCTTTTTAATTTGAAGCAAAGAAAATGCCAGATGTATCGATGAATTTAGCAAAGCGTACAAATATATAAAGTCGTTATCTGTGAAGCTATAGTACTTTTCCCCAAAAAACATAAAACTGAAAAAACAAAAACCACAAAACATGACAAATCTTTAGAGAAATAAAAATAGTTATTATTAAATAATCTTTACGAATGAAAACTTTTGAACCTGTCAAATGAAGCCATGTATACTGTGTTCTTGACCAAGCCTCTTCGTATATAATAGTGCAGCATGCTTGAAAGAATAAACATACAAATGTATCAGTAATCATCCAAACTATATTATCTAATCGGATGTCCGCTATGATATGAACGCACATTATGCACATATTGCCTGGTGAGAAAGAAAACATGTATCCAAACTCAAAGGGAACGAAAGTCGAATTGAATTTTTTTTATGAAACCCTTTTCTTAGGTTTACCTGGATGAAGCTTTAGGTATTCGAACGAAAAACCTAAAGCTTCATCGAACATCGAACGAAAAAAATGGCAACAATAAACAGTTGCACTCTCGTCCAAAATTGGAGCCCACGTGACAATTGTAGCGTCAGCCTAACATGAAGAACATCCTGAATGATAACAAAACTAGTCCCTCCCTCTTTAATAAACTAGTCCAATCTTTTATGAAATACATACTTCTTAACTCTATTTGCACTGACGGATCTATACGTTTCTTTTCAAGCCTCATTCAGCTGGGGAAAAATTTAATTATTAGCTTCATTCCATTCTAACATGTTTACAAAAGTACTCATTAAACATTCTCTGGTTTACAAAAGTTCTCATTAAAAGTTTGATATCATATTTTTGTTTCAAGGATTCAAAAACATTTCAGAATTGTTTACATCCAAAATTGTCAACAAAGGAAAGCTCGTTCTTCTGAATATTTAAACAGTTGTTCCTTTTCCCCATTTTCGCCCTCGAACTTGATTGATTTAAGATTTCTGCAGAGTACAAGTTTGTTTCAAATATTGGTTATTATTTGCTCTGTTTCGGTTTCTAGTTTCTTGCTCACACAAACTTCTGAGTGATTGCTTTGATTACTGTTCACTTTTACCGAAGACTATTTGATCATCTGCGGGAGGACGAGTTCGTATGGTGGACTATCTTATGTGTGTTGTTCACCCTCCGTGTTTTCCATTTGCAATGCAGAATGCGTATGAACGCCCTGCGGAAGTTTGCATTGCACAGCGCATAGCAAATGGGGTTGGCGGTACTGTTTAGGTAGCACAGCCAGTACGCAATGTCAAACATTTTAAGTAACGCCGGTTGGTTTTCAAGATCCTGCCCGTAAGTGGCTAGTACCAGAATGCTGTAAGGGGTCCAGGTTATGATGAAAACTGACAGGATAGCACAAAGAGTTCTGGCTGCTTTCTTTTCGCGAATCAGGGCCGATTTCTTCCGTTTGACAACATTTGTCTTGGCTCTGACGGCCATCTTGTTCACCATGGATATTGTGCTGATGGTCAGGGGTTTGTTCTTTTGACTTTGGATGCTTGTTGTAGATCCCGCTCGATCACGTTGTTGGCAGGCGTGTTCCTTAGTTGGAGGAACAAGGTGGCTGCCATCTTGGTCCTGCATTAAGGCAGTACAAGTATCGTTTTCCGGCTCCCCTTCTATAAGCGTGATCTTGGGCTGTTCACCTGGCTTGTTCTGATTCAACCCGTTCTCTCCAGGCAGTTTTATGAGGATGGTGTACAGCGAAGCGGCAAAGCTCTTATCCGAATCATGCTTAGGACGCTCAGGTGTGGCCCGACCATCTTTTTTAGGTTTATTGACCGGAGAGAGGCGAGGGGAGGTTTTGTTGGAAGAGGCACTGCAGTGAACACTGTTCTGACCGGGACAAGGTTTGGGTGAGGGGACCTGACTGTTTGTCGTGGGCATGGGAGATGCTATATCGCTGCTCTCTTCTAACTCATCATCGTATATATCTGCTATCGCACAGCACAGTAAGCGAGCTCTGAACCCAGTTTTCCGATGATTCCTGTCGGCGTGTTCATGACCATCTTCCGGAGACAACAGGTGTTTCGAGGTGTGACTGTTGCCACCCGCCTGGAGATTTCCCAATTCCCGCGCCCGCTTTTCCGTTTCCCGCCAGATTCGGTAGTACAGGACGCACATGAGTGACACGGGCATGTAAAACGCTATGATGATGGTGATGATGTTGAGAATGATTTCATCACTCAGGAATTGAATTGCACAGACTCCTTCCCCAATATTCCTCTTGCCGACGAAGAACTGCCAGCCCACTATCAGTGGTACCCAGATCACAAGCGAAATGACCCAGGCCGCAGCGATCATAATTTTTACTTTCCGCGGCGTCCGATTCGCCCGGTAAGTCAGTGGACGGGTTATGGATAAATATCTATCAAAACATATGATGCATAGGTTCATGACAGAAGCATTGGATGCAGCGTAGTCTATGGAGAGCCAGATATCGCAAACAATTGGCCCCAGTCTCCATTCCTCCTGCAGTAAATACAGAGTGTAAAGCGGCATCGATATGCCTCCTATAATCACATCGGCCACGGCAAGGCTCAACAAGAAGTAATTATTGATGACCTGGAGCTGCTTGTCCATAAAGAAAGACATCCATACCATGAGGTTGGCACTGACGGTGAAAATACTCAAGCAGCCGGCCACCAATATGATGAGTATGGCTGCCCATTGTGGATGACTGCCGAAGGGTGGATGGTCGTCCGTGGTCGTCAGGTTGTCGGTTGGTCCTGCTGAGGAGTTATCCAAGACCGGACCCGCTGTTACCCATGGCACGGTCTGCATGTTATCATTCATGGTCGCTCACTGAAACCAATGATAAAAGGATGGTTAGTGAGAAGTCAGTCGAATTGAATGTTGGTATCAAGCATTATGCTTGAAGTCATTGCATGTCACTTATGCCAAGTTATATTGTCAACCTTTATTCTCACAGTACCGCCCGATGTAAGAACCGATGATGTTTTATGAAGTCTTTTAATATACCCAATATGGAAGGTGGCTATGTGCTTAGGTTCTATAACTTTTGATCTGAGCAAAACATATTTATCTTCATAAAATCACCTTCACTTATTGTTTTCTTCCGAACATGTAACAATACAATTTTAGGCGGTATAATTTCACAGGATATTTGGTCACAGCCGTATATCTTTTGTCTTCACTTCAAGCAAGGTGTTTTTCTCACTTAATCGGTAGGTCCGTTTCCGAGTACAAGCAAATACCAATGGCCCTACATGCCTTTAAATTTGTACCAACACAATACTGTAATAACCTGCAATCGATGCTCACAGTTTGTCAGGGGAAATGTCAATGACAGATATAACCACCTGTCTGATGAATCATATCGGCTCCGATGGCTCCAGACATACCTAGATATATTTTAACGATTATGCCTACCGATAACATGTTTGGGTGGCATATTGGGTGAGAGTTGTAGCCTTTATAGTGGATGCGATGTCGATGTTATGTGCAAAGGGAGATGCCTTCGTATGTAGGTTCGAACCCAACCGGGCCTTGTGTCCCTTAGCAGTATACCACACCGCAATTGATCACGTTAAACAAGATAGCCGATTTTTGAGAAAGCTGGATGGTAAAAAGGATGCAAGGCTCTTTGGGATGTTTAAGAGAGACAGTTGAAATTGGTACGGTTTCTGGTTGGTTTAGCTTGGTTTGGTTTAATCATGGAGGAAGGAACACAATTGGCCTGAATCTGCTTGTATTTTTTAATCGATTGGCTTAGATTTGATATAGCTGGGCTTGGTGGTCGGTTACGTTAAAAGGGGTCATTTTTACATTTTAGGTCAACACTTATCCAATGCCGTGGGGTGGCGTAGTGCCTAGACACAAAGAGCTCTTATTACAAAGTTAATTTGCTTTCGCATCTTCTCAAAAACTTATCATTCTGTCAACTTGCTGTCCATATTTGCTTATACAGCGCAAGCAATCACTGTGCATTGTTATCTACATATAGGTCTGCTCATGCAGTCAAGGTTCGTGAGACCGTTAGGCAAACAACGCTGAAGGCAACCTAATGCGGCATGAGGCTCTATTGGCGAGTATAGCTCATGGCGCTCAAATCGCACGCCCAGCCCCGTGTAAATGATTCCTTCCCTGTTTAATTGAAACAAATGGCTTGTAAATGATCCATTATGAAAATTTTAGCTGGCTTTGCCCCTAATGGTGGGTGTAATGGTGTAATTTATAAGGAAGCGGCGATATGACGGTGTATGGCGCCGAAGACTGGATTATTAAATCACGTCTGAATAAAGTACACGCTAAATCCTACTGGACCGTCTAAAACCATGCACATTCGCCGCCGGTGCAATATTTGTCTGGTTACGCCAACGTTTGAGTTTTTATGTATTCATATTAATAAAACTATACGATGACTGTCGAGTTTAGTGTGGCGATTAGTTACAGTTTTCTCATTTAAACAATTGCTATGACGTTACACTATTGTTAAAGTGCGGATTCGGATCTACGAATCTCTTACACTGGTCACAAAGTGCAAGGGCGGATCCAGAACACAATTGTTTTTTTTGGGGGGGGGCAAGCAAAAACAATTTTGGTCCCCCCAAAAAGTGGGTAAAAAAAATTACGGCGTGGGGTTCGGGGCCCGCTTAAGGGCCCCGAATTTTTTTGGATTCTAGATGCTCTGTGGTGCGATCTGAGGCAATTTCTGACCACTTTAACCAATGTTTTGTTAAGGAAAAGATGGTGGTGTACTCATTGCAAGCCTTTATTGCGATGTCACATAAAACAAAAAAAAATGGTTTCGTTTTTTTTTTGGGAGGGGGGGCATGGGCCCCTTTGGCCCCCCCCTTGATCCGCCCTTGACAAAGTGTGGATTCGGAACGACGAATCTTTAGTAAAGTGTGGATTCGGAATTACGAATCCACACTTTGAACACGTCGGACAATTGTTCTCCATAATGAGCCTGAATAGGACCGTCTGCGTGAAAATTTGTTTTCCGAAAATTACCAACGCATCTTCACTGTCCCATTCGCCGCCGTCACTGCAAAATCTACTCTTAGTCAGAAAAAAACGTCGTCTGAACTATCCATTTTGTCGAAAGGAACCTATACACACAATATTAATTACTTGGTTGTACGGGTGTGGCGATATACATGCTAAACACGCCAGGGAAAAATGTTGCAACCTGACGCCACTTCCGCGCTTGTATACGAAGTCTATGGAGAGTCATTTCAAGTATTTCCTAACACAATTTGAAACATTTCTCAGTCCCAGATTCATGTCTTATCATCTTTTTTGCAACGAATGACCCTCATTGATATGATATTAAAGAAAAAAGTGGCGTCAGGTTGCAACGAATTCACTCGGCGCTTCGCGCCTCGTGAATTCTTAAATTACGAATCCACACTTTCTAGTGTATTCTCCTTAACATAACATTTCATAGCGGATTTTTCTTCGAAGGTCTAAAAAGAAAGAAAAAGAAAACAATGGTCTACCCCTCCCCAAATAATAATAAGGCAGGCCTACAGGAATATGCGTATACATTTAATGCTTTAAGCCTGCGTGTATGCGGGTATGTCAGTACGATTGTGAGGTAAATATGACAAAAAAATTCTCAGAATTTAGAAATAAGTGTCAACATTGTCTTTCCTTGATTAAGAGGGACGGCCTCTATCGGCATCAGATCAGGTTGTACTTTTTTTTTGTAAAATCTATTAGGGTTGAGGATATAAATCTGAGGCTTTTGAGTATAGCAAGTTCAAATTCTATATTTTGAGGAATCATGGACACTGATGCATTGTTTTTGCCCAGGATTGAAATACTGCACTTTTGAAGGAATCATCTCTGATTGAAGAACAACAGTGGGAATGATATCGACTGCGAACAAAGCTGCAGTACGGCAGCAATAATGACAGTTATATAGTGCAGTAACAACGGCAACAACAATATCAAGAGTAACACAACCCTCAAAAGATGCAGTATCAAAGTCACGACAGCAAAACAACAAAGCTGAAACAAACAAACGGTCAACTGCAACAGTATTAGCCACAGCAATGGCTGAAAATTAGCAGCTCTACAACATCAGCAAAAAAGAGCAGCAGCAACATCGGCATGAACAATGAACTTGAGAAATTCAAAACGTTAAGAAACGAATAACATCATACAAACTATCAAACTACATTATCTGTTACAAGAAAGACAATAAACGAAGTCACAATCATCTAATTGTGTCTGGTTTCAGACTTGACTGGACGAACATCAGTCGTCATGCCTACTACATTGTAAACTCGTCATGCCTACTACATTGTAAAGGGGATCTACCCAATACCTATGTTCCCCAATACCTATGTTCCCCAAAATCTCGAGGGTTAGGGTAATGGGTTAGGGTTAGGGTTATAGATGGTTCGGGTTAGGGATAGGGTTGGGGAACATAGGTATCGGGGAACATAGGTATCGGGGAACATAGGTATGCACCCATTGTAAAGCATGCCGTACGTGCCTTCGCATCGAATTTTCGCAAACCTGTAACGAGATTGAAGAAGTAGTCCATGGTTTGTCTTATATCTTCACATACACTTGGTTCATCCCTTTACTTTGTGTGTAACTTAATCGGGAAATCTCACCAGAGATTGTCAACCCTCCCCCTAGGTCCATCTTGGGTGGGGGTAGAGAATCGTGTTAACTGTTTCCTTCTCATAACACTTACCGAGGCCTGGAGACAAACATCTTCGTCAAACACTTCACATTATTCGCAGTTCAAATTCCTTCATTACCTCACATACAGGCATAATTGTACCCGTAAGCAAAACGTCGCCCAAATGTTTCTAAAAGTCCATGCAACACACTCGGTTTTACCAGCTTTAAAAAAGCCACTTGCATTTCGCCCTCCACTCATTTCAGGGACTAAAGCCCTAAACTGTTTGTTATAGTGTCATCTCAGTGGTTGCTTTACTTTCCCACAGAAGCATAGTCAACATCGTGCATACTTTCTTCCTGTGGTATCCATAAGATATGATATATCATGAGAGAATAATGAACATGTTCTATGAACAATGAAATTAACGCTGAATTGTGTGGCAAGTATCCGCACAAAGTGTGTAAGTGACACACTTTTTAAATTTTACCAACAATCGTTGGTTCCCTCTAAGAGACAGCATGCCAGCCGGGGAGAAACATCACATGATGATTTAACTTGAGGGCAATTCCGTAAAATCAGACGTACATGACATACACTCTAATGAGCTGCTGTTTGGAAGTGAATGTGATACATCACAAATATTAACGTGACATCCAATGAGTAGAAAATAACTGCAGACCAAACTGAGGTACACCACCACCGACCTTGTATAAGTACATCATGTGGTCGGACGTACGTTGGATTTTATGGAATTGCCCTCTAGTCAAAATTCCTAAATTGCGTTTTGTTTCCAGCACGTTTACTGTAGTCATTTCATCTGGACGTGTTGAAAAACACCGAGTTTTTTGCGTGTTCCTCAGAATTTAATTATACAAAATAAACTGGAGTTCTTTTCACTAGACAAGGAGCAGATTACTCATACTGACCGGTCAGTTATACAAAAATGCTCATTTACTGTCAAAATTAATTAGGTGAAAAATTACTGAAATATCGTGCATATCATTCCAATTATTTCTCACAATATACGAGTTTTAAAGGAAATTTCAGAACATATGGAACATGAAAGGCTTAAATTATTTGAATAGCAAGGAATACATTCCTTAATAAAGATTAATTATTTCGTCTACCATTGGAAAAAACCATCATGCTCATATGACGGTGCTGTCGAAGGGAAATAAATGACACATTTTTAGAA